AGGCTAGAGCAGGCTTGCTCCACCTCTAGCAATCTCGCCGGCCGGCGAGGCACGGACGAGACCGTGTGTGGGGTTAGTGAGGTGTCTATGGTCGCCCTCCTCACGGGCTAGCCGCCAGCGGCCAGCCCTATCTCGCACTCACTGGCGGTGACAATTCAATGTGTGAGTGTTAGCGAACAGAGGCACGTGTGCTAATTCTAGGCCGCACGTCGTGGCACTATGACGAAGGTAGACGTGCGGCTGCAGCGCGCCCGCCGCAGGCTCGGCGGTGCGCGCGTGTTAGCGATAAAGTTGCGGGTAGAGCCGTTCCCGACTTGTCGAATGCGAGGCCTCTGCGACGAGTGCCAGTCGCGCTGCGGAGCCACGCCCTTCGAGCCGCGTCCCGTCGGCACTACCCTCGAGTGCGTGTCGCTTTGGTTGGCGACACCCACTCGTCGAGGGCAGTCCAGCCGACGGGAGCCTGTCGCGCGCCGGCGACGAATGCGGCGGGGTGGGTGTGGGTACAAAGCGCCGCTTCGACGAAGCGAGGTAGGCAGGCGCCCCTCACGAGTCCGTTCAGACATGCCACACGCCCCTCGCAAGCGAGGTTGGCAGGCGCCCCTGGCGAGACCCGCAAGAGATGCCACACCACCCTCGTACCTATACTCCACCAAGTCAAGGTGAAAAGATCTTATCAGCCAGGCGGGCAGGGCAGGCGGGCAGGCGGGCGGGGTCAGGGAAGAGGGCCCTCGGGTTACGCCTCGCCCGGCCCCCTCCGAGGGGGGAAGGGGAAAGAGTGGGGCCCTCGGGGTGCGCCTCTCCCGGCCCCCTCCGAGGGGGGAAGGGAACTATTCTCTGTCCATCTACAGCGTGGGTGGTGGTACACTGCGTCGAGACAGCTCCGCCTCGCGCCCTGCCTTCCTGGAATACTTACGAATACCCAGCGCGGAATACAATACGTAATTAATTAATGAATTAACTAGTTAGGTTAGGACGTGGAATACAGCACTCGAGGTCATTAAGTAATAATAAATTAACAAATAATTAATTACCCTACCGCCGCCGCGCCGCCCCGCCCGCCGCCGCGCCGCGCCGCCCCCCGGTGATTATTAATTCATTATTAATTAATAAATAAGTAATTATACCACCCGCCGCCGCCCCGCCCCGCCCTGCGTCGCCCGCTGCCTCGCCGCGCCGCCGCCTCGCGCCGCCCGCCGCCGCGCCGCGCCGCCGCCCGACAATTATTAATTCATTATTAATGAATTAATAAACAATTATACCACCCGCCGCCGCGCCGCCCCGCACTGCGTCGCCCGCTGCCTCGCCGCGCCGCCGTCTCGCGCCGCTCGCCGCCGCGCCGCGCCCCCGCCCGATGATTAATAATTAATAATTATTACCCGATTATTAATAGTGTGTGTGTTTGTGTGTGTGTGTGTGTGTGTTTGCCTGATGGCCGGGAAGTCCAAGGCAGCGGCGAGCGGCAGGTGGCGTCGGCGACGTACTCAGGACACGATGGCGAAGCCCACAGCGCAGGAGCTCGGCAGCAGCGCCGACAGCGGCCCCGCGCCGCGTCGGCGGCGGTCTGAGCGAGGCAGCCTGTACTCCTCAACCTCCTTGGCACTCCCCCGACGAGCGGCGCGCTATGCGGGCCCGCCGCGGGCGACGCGGGCGGCGAGCCGACGTGCGTGCCGCAGTCATAGGCAGCGCTGGCGAAGCCAGGAGGTCGCCGCAGGCCCCCGGATGCGGTCGCAGCGAGAGAAGCGAGACAGCAGATGCTGTCGGAAGGGTGAGGAGCAGCCTGCCGTCGAGCGGCGCGCCGCACAAGCCCGCCGTCGGCGGCCCGGTTCGAGAGCAGGTAGTCGTGGTAGTATTGAGCGCGCAATCGCGCCCGAGCCGGCCCGCCCTGGCCCTGTAGACCCTCCCAGAAAGTTGGCGATGCTGTACAGCATGCCCAGAGCATACCGGACAGGCTCCCGTCGAGCGACGAGCTATGCTGGCTCGCCGCCGGCGGCGAGCTCGAAGACCCGCGCCGAGCCTCGCCGAGCCTGGCGGGCCCACCCACACGCCCGCGGCCGCAGGCAAGCAAGGCGAGCTTGCTGGCGTCTTTGCCAAGCGCCAGCATGCCAAAAGACACCTCGCAGCGCGCGAGACGTGCCGAGACCGATACGCCCCGGCGCCGCGTGAGCGTCCGGTGGGCTCCCGCACCTAGCGCGCGGCCGCCGCGCGCATTCGCGTCGGCAGCGGCCGGGGGCGGAGCGCGCGCATAGACAGTTGTTATGGCGCGGAATTTTTCAGCAGTGGGAGGGGCAAAAAGAAATAAATGAAGTGCACTTCAGCTGGCCGCATATCGGGTCGGCGCCTCGCGGCCTTGCGCTCACACGTGTCAGCCTCTGTCCGGGACGCTTAGGCTTTAATCACGAGCGCATGATTGCTGCGATCCACGCTGCGCGGAGGCGCAAGCGCGAGGCCGCTGAGAAGGCCGCCACCCGGACTTCCGCGGCTGTGGGCTCGGACATCGACTGCTCGGACGCCGAGAGCGTTACTCTTGAGGAGAGCACCCACAGCACGGCAAGATCTGTCCCCGCCGACTCGAACACCAAGCTGAGGTGGGAGGAAATCTCCCTCCCGCCGCCTCGGTCGATCTGCTTCTGCCTCCCGCGCCAGCTCGATGTCTTCCGCTTCTACATTAGCCAGCCCGTCCAGATTCTGACCGCCGTCCTGATCATCTCCAACTTCCTGTTCAACTGCGCAGAGAAGGTCGGCTGCCTTCACGGACCTCGCATCGGCTCTTTCACGGTGGCTACGCTGGCTAACCATTACTTCCGCGCCCGCAGGAGTGGGACCCTTATGCCGAGCAGTTGCGGCCGGCGCTCTGGAAGTGGAGCGAGTTCACCTTCAACACGCTCTTCCTCGTCGAGTTACTGGTCAACTTCTATGGGCTCGCCTTTGCCTTCTGGCGCCACAACTGCGGCTGGAACTGTTTCGACCTCCTCGTCGTCTCCATCGGCTGCGTCGGCATGGCAGAGGCCATCGGCGGCGCCTTTATGCCGCCGCAGCTCGCGCTCGTCCGCAACCTTCGGGCCTTTCGCATCTTTCGCCTCTTCAAGCGCGTCAAGTCGCTCAACAAGATCCTCTCCTCGTGCGCCTGCAGCCTCGCCGCCCTCCCGCCACCACCCTCCCAGCCTCCAGTTCTCCCGCCACCACCCTCCCAGCCTCCAGTACTCCCGCCTCTCCTCCCCCCTCCAGTTCTCCCGCCTCTCCTCCCGCCCTCCAGTTATCCCGCCTCTCCTCCCGCCCTCCAGTTCTCCCGCCTCTCCTCCCGCCCTCCAGTACTCCCGCCTCTCCTCCCGCCCTCCAGTACTCCCGCCTCTCCTCCCGCCCTACTGCTCTCTTCCCCGCCGGGCCACACCTCGCGCCAAAAACGGCGCCGTTGCACCGGTGCGCAGACTCGGCAAGGCGATCCCCGGCGTCTTCAACGCATTTCTGATCACGATCATCGTGATGTGCATCTACGCGATTCTCGGCGTCGACTTCTTCCACCTCACCGGCGATGACGGCGGCATCACGACGTACAACGAGAATGTGCGGCGCGGGCTCTGCAATGAGACCGAGGACGGCCGCACGGTGTACGTGGACGATGGCAACGACTATCTCGCCGGCGAGGACTGCTCCCTCACCCAGACCTTCTCCTCCGAGACGGCGCGTGGCTTCACGTACGGGGAAGAGTACTACGGCACCTTCTTCCGCGCGCTGTACACACTCTTCCAGGTGCTGACCGGCGAGTCGTGGTCCGAGGCGGGCAGCAGGTTGCCCTCCCGAAGCTTTCCGTGACACGTCCACGACATGTCCGAGACGTGTCCATAGGCGGTCGCGCGGCCCGCCATCTTTAGCGGCGACACAGGCGTCGGGCCGGCCCTCTTCTACGTCTCCTTCATCATCGTCTGCCAGATCGTCCTCATCAACGTCGTCGTCGCGGTGCTGCTCGACAAGATGGTGGAGGAGGAGGACGCGCCCGACCCGGAGGAGATGAGCGTGATTGAGAAGCTGCACCAGATGCTCGCGCAGGAGTACGGCCAGCTGCAGGCGCTCTTCCGCAGCTGGGACGACGACGGCTCCGGCACCGTCTCGAGGCGCGAGTGGTGCAAGGCGATCCAGAGCCTGGGCTACCGCGGCCCGCGAAGCGTGCTGCACCAGATCTTCGACTCGATGGACCGCGACAAGTCGGGCGAGCTCGACTTCGCTGAGATCGACAAGATTCTCAACCCGAAGCAGGCGCGCAAGTCGAGCCTCGGCCAGCCGCAGCCGAAGCGCTCGGTCAAGGATGAGGTGACGCTGCTGCGGGACGACGTGGCGCGGCTCACGATGCTCGTCGAGGAGATGTGCGCGAAGCGGAAGAGCAGCGGCGAGTTCCTCTCTCCGCGCGAGCCGACGGAGCCCCCGCCCGCCGGCACGATCCCGCTCGCGCGGCTGCAGGACGCGGCGGAGCTGCCCGACTCTCCCGCCGAGAGCGAGAGCGGGTCGCGCCGCCGTCGCGTCTTTGCCTAGGCGCTAGGCTGAGCACGAGCGGTGCGCGAGCCTGCAAGCCGACCGAGGCGGGGAAAAATGGGGGGAGCGGCTGTCGGTCACGAATAGATTTTGGGGATAGACACAGCTCATTCGGCTTATTTATTTTCTCTTGAAGAATCACCGCACCGTCCCCGCCGCCGCCGTCCCCGCCACCACCGAAGCAAATGACCGCGGGGGGATGCTCGGTGCGTCTCTCTCATGAATACGAACCACAACAGTTGGTTTGTGGAGAGGCGTATCCTACCTTTTACCACGTTATTACGTAACTTCGAGCGCTATTATAGTGGGGAACGCCCAGGGAGAGAGGGGCGGCTATATCATGCGACATGCAACGCCCATCTGGCTCCTTCTTATATCATGCGACATGCAGAGTCTTGTCTTCTCGAGCTAAGCCACGGCCCGGCAAGTTTTGAGGGCCGATAGCGCAAAGGAGAGTGAGAATGGACGGCCATACATTAACATGGGGGCACCTCCTTCGCGATGCGCAAGGACAGAGAGCCTGCAGCCGGACCATTGATCGGGCAGGTATACCCATTCGGGGGAAGAATGCCATCCTTGAGGTAGTCCCGCGTCCTGTTGAAGCAATCCCAGGCGCCGTAGCCTTTCTTTTGGAAGTCTCGCGTACCGGGTTGGCCCGCGTTCACGGTGGAGGGCAGGCCATGGCGATAGCCTTGCCAGTTCATCAAAGCGCCGTTAGGAAAGAAGCCCCGCATTTTCTGCGCCGAAGTGTAGGTCGTTGCGGGGTCATGAAACTCTCCAATGATGAGCGGCTTGACCCTGTCGAGCGATGATCCGTAGGAAGGCACCGGACGTGGGAGGTTCGGCGCCGACGCCACTGCAATCAGATTGCCGTGCCAAGAGGGTGTTTCGCACGGAGTTCCGTCCATAAGCGCGCAAGATCGTTGGGATTCATCCGCCCCGCCATGTCCACAGATCGCACAAGGCCTACAGGTGGCGTGCTGCTGCACGTCCTCGAGCCGGAGGGCAACGGGCAGGCCGCGTCTCTCCACGCCCACGCCTCTCGGAGTTTGGGGCGCGCTCTCGCGTGGGGAGCGCTGGGGACGCGTCTATCTCGGGCATCGGCGATCGGAGTTTCTTTTTCGTTTTATCTGTGATTAGAGCGTGTCCTATCTGCGGGGTGTTCTTCTGGCCATGCTCTGCCTCTGGGGCCGAGCCTTGGCGAGACTGCGTCAGCTGTTTCCACAACTTACCTCGCCAGCCTACATGCACACTGTCCCGGGAGAGGGACCTCCGCACCTCTCTATACACGACGTACACCGGGGGCTGTAGCGCGGAGAGCCGTAGTAGACGGGTACTGAGTACAGGTGGGACACGCAGTTCACCACAGGAGGCCGTTGCAGCCTTTTCTTCATGCCCGCCGCTGGCCCTTCACAGGTCGCCTAGTCCACTCGTACGCGACCGCAGCCACGGTGGCCGCGCACCGCACCCGGTGCGCCGTCCGCGTCGCCGTGCTGGCGCCGACGGTGTACTCTGTGTTGGCTGCGGCCGCCGCCTCGTAGGCGACGGCACAGAGGAGCACCGAGCGGTCGGCCGAGCCGCCGAGAGCCGCGCTCGCGAGCATGAGCCCGTATGCTCCCAGGAGCGCGGCCACGTGCCGGCCCCACATCGCCGGGATGTCCGAGATGGGAGCGCCTCCGAGCGACTCTCCGAGCTGCAGCGCGGCGAGCGCCTGCTGACGAGCGGCGTACTGGAAGGAGAAGAGGAGCGAGAGCAGGGACAGGCAGGCGAAGACGGCGCGGCTGCCGGCGGCGAGCATATCCTCGATTAGCACACGTACTCTGCTCGCGCACCAGCCTAGCTAGTGCCGCGACATGCGCCGCTAGAAAAGAATTCTTACCGGTGAATCTCACAGCAGACTGGCACGAACCACGAACCGAACCTAGTTAGCGGCTTGCGGCCGTACTGGCGCGCACTAGAAAAGAATTTTACACGGGCTCCCTCGCACAACACTGGGCACGGGACTGGCTCGCACTGGCACTAACACAAGAATTTTGCAATTCTGGGCACAACACTGTGTTACTCTCTGATTCCAACACTGGGCACGGGACTGGCGCGCACTGGCACTAACACAGGTACACCACGGGAGCCGCCTATTTTACAACAAAACTAACACGAGGAGCAGACCGCGATCCCGCGGAGCCCTCCGCGGCGAGCTCCTCTGCGAGGTCGCGCCAGTTCCTGTTGTGGACCACCGTCGTGAAGCGCCGCTGCGCCTGGTGTAGGAACTCGTGCTTGGACGTGAACTCGGCGAGGGGCAGCAGCTCCTTGGCCTCGACGAGAGTATGCGGCCGGAAGCGCGAGAGCGCCTTCCTCTCAGCCGGCTCTGGCGGCTCTGCGGAGGCGCGCAGCTTCTTGCCCTCGTCGGGCTCGTCCCACGGCTCCACCTCGACGTCCGGGGGCCTGCCCGTCGTGCCACCGACCAGGTCGAAGTACTCCGCCTTCGTCTTGTCGTCCCACTCCTCCACGTCGCCGTGATCTTGCCGTGCTCCTCCTTGAGCCTGTTGTGCGTCGCCGCACGCAGCTCGTCGAAATCGGAGCCCGGCGCCTTGCTCACGTCAAGGTCGCGGAAAGGAGCATGCAGCTGGCGCATGGGCCCGGCGACGAGCGCCCAAGTGCCAATCCACGCCGGCTCACGAATGTCCACGGCGCTGGTGAGGCCCATACCGCCCATCTTGACGGGCAGGCGCGCCTGCCTGCGCGCCCGCTCCCAGCGCTTGCCGGCGGCGCCGACCCGTGCCCCGCCGACGAGCTTGTATAGCGCCGCGTCAATCAGCTCGTCGTGCCTCTCCGCTGCCGGGAGGGTGACCGACGGCGGCATGGCGCGCAGAAAGAAGGTGAGCGTCGTGTTGCTGCAGAAGCGCA